ATATATATATATGAAAATATATATATATATTCATAAAGCTCTGGCTGTGAAATTTATAGATTCTATCTCATTATAAACATTGGGGCACCTAGATCGTTTCATTATTAAATTTAGGGATATCTAGATGGACTATTGTATATATAATATGTCACTAAAACTGAGTGCAAGCACAATAAAATTTTGGTAACTTTGTTTTAATTCTAATTTGGTAATAGTGACTCAAAATGCAGGAAGTCACATATTTTATATTGAAATGATTAATGTAAGTGCCATGGCTGGTGTTCTGTGCTGAGTAGAGAAGACCCTTACACTCAGTGTTGATGTATAAAGCTCTCTATGAAGCAATTCCCAAAAGTCATGAGCCATACCTTTTTTTGCCCTAGGTTTCACTCTCTCTGCCCCAAGACCCCAGTCTCTTTTATCCCATCCTGTTCCCCTTGTAAGTGAGGAGTTAGCACACAATTCGTCCTGTGCTGAAAGAACCCGCAGGAATCAGTTTCTGCTGACACAGTCCCCATGCCTGTATCTGTGCTAGTTCTCTTGAATGGTATTTCCAGTCCTGTGCTAAATTCACCTGTGCTAGATTCAGAAAGCATTTTGTAGAGGAAAGTAACTGGAGGAAGTATTCTAGAAATACGAATCCCAGTTCTTTAAAGTGTAAGGCTGTGGGTAATTTCCAAAGAGCAAACTCTTCCATGATTTTACACAGCATTTTCATAGTCCACATCTGTAATGTCCACGTCTGTAATGTCCACGTCTGTAATGTCCACATCTGTAATGTTTGGCTCCTTCAGCTTAGAGTAGATAGCTGAGTCCTAGAAGAAAGGGACATAAATAAGACCAGAGCAGGCAGACAAGTAGGCCAAGTCTGCACCATTCTGTTCCCCAGGCGGCCTGGAGGAATCCAACTGTAACCATTTGATAGCACACAAAGCAGAGTTCCAGGTTCTCGACCACACCAAGGAAGGGTGGAGCTGAGCAGTGAGAAGTTAGAAAGGAAATTAAAAATATGTATATATTACCAAATATATATATATATGTATATACACACACACACACACACACATACATAATGATGCATGTATATTTAAATAAGACTTCAAGAGAAGCTGAAAAGGAAGAAGAGGTACATAGAGCACAGAAGAAGAAGCCACACTCGCTTTGTGGTATTTGGACTTGAATCAGGGGCTTGGTAACATAAGAGGAGACACTTGAAAAACACAGAGACATGGGTGGATGAAAGACCCTAGGGGAGGTTCACAGTGGCAGCTTTATCTTGACTTGTGTTTTGATTTGCTCTTTTCCCTCCAGACTATTTAGGTCCCTTCTGCATGGTTCCGGTCAGAAGGAATGTTAGTGGCAACTAAGTGGCAATTTGTGGCAAGTTTTCAGTGGACCCACTTAAAACCAAACCTGTTTTGCTGGGCATATACACACAAGGGGATGGTAATTGAGGGCTTTTAATTGGAAACTACTTTAACCATATCCATTCTCTCTCTTCATTGCACACTAACTGGATTAACTTTTCTGTTGATGGTCTTACCACTAAGAGCATATTTTACCTTATGAGGCTGATGTCAGAATTCATCAGGCAGGTTTGGGGTCCTGCAACGCCCCTCATTGTGCCTGCTAACATTTGAATGGTGCACAGTGCACAAAATGGGACTCTTGGAAGACTGTGGTCCTAAACCAACATTTTCAACAGTTTGCACCCCACTGGTGACTATGTAGCAACCCTGAGAGGCTGCAAGCAGACCAAACATAATGCCTTCTCTCACTCTCACGGACAGCAAGGCAGTAGTCCTATGACTGCTATTTCTAAGGCTGTCAGGCTTTCGTATTCATCAATTACATTTAGCGTGTCACAGAGTTCACCACCCTGAGACATCTGTCCCTGTGCCTCCCCACAGTAGACAAGATGCAAAGTACCACCCAAACTTGCACTAAGCAATGAATTGCTACAACTTTCCAAGAGTATTTTTACATCATCAATGATGTTTCTAATTGTCCAAGGTTTACAAATTACTGACTCTTAATGATATAAATCACTGTTGGTTTAGCTTTCATTCAATATTAATTGTTTTCTACAGGCTATTTGAATAACCTCCCAGGACAAAGAGATATATGTGTGTTGTTCAATAGTATTTCAAGATTATGTTCACACAAACAGAACTTCTAGACTGAGCATTCAAATAGCTTATCTACAAATCATGCCTATTGCCAAAGGAAATGAACATGCAAGCCCCCAAACATCTTTGTACAATGACATTTGTTTGTTATGATCAAAGTTTTTATCTACATTGTATATGGGAGGGGGGGTAATAGAGTAGATAGACATGGGGTATTTTGCCTTTCCTAAGGGGCATCATGTTTAAGTTTAAGAACCAGTTGCAGAAGAAACAAAAAAAGCAAGGGAGAAATAACTTACCTTATATCCATTATGAGTCCCTGCAGGTTCTACTGTGGAGGAAAACATTCACGCTGTAAGATTCCTCCAAGCCATTCACTCAATTTGTATCAATGAAGTGTTCTTCCTCTTCCATTTCCCATGGATTGATTTCCATTCAATCCATGATTTCCATTTTCTTGTCTCTCTTCTCTAACTATCTTACATGAAGGGAATTTGGCTACCAGGGACCTAAGTAGATTATGTGTAGGATTTACAACTCTCAGCATTTCTAGGTCACCATGTCTGGGATGGAACAGCAACTCACATGTGGTGGGGGGCTAATGCAGAGGGAAGGGAGTTCGAAAGAGTTAGCAGCAGCCCCACCTCCAGCATGGCCACGCCTCTGGGGAGGGAGACAGACGGGAGGCCACCAGCACCAGCACTGGACTCAAGTCAAGGTCACTCCCAGATCAAGGGCAGGCTTCAGATGGACACAGCAATGCTTCCAGTTGGCTCCCAGGGAAAAAGCAACAGCAGGGCTAGAGAACTCTGCCACGCTGCCATACACTGAAGACCCCCCTGCTCCCACACACATTCACTCCCCGTGTCTCACCTGCTGTTGATGGGTACTCATGCTGCCTTTGGTACACCCGCGAATACACCTTATCCCCACTTCCAAAATTCACTGAAAGAGAAAAAAGAAGGCACCAAGACCGTCCCTCTTTCTGCCACTATCACAGCCAGAGACAAGCAACAATCTTCAGAGGTGGCTGGGGCACAGCAGTCAGCAGATGTCAGCCCACCACCCTTCCCCGGCTCGCTCCTCCCTCACCCCCATCCCAGAATCAGTCGGAATTCTCACCATTTTGGTACACAGGGTCTCTTTGCACTGGGACAGGTGAGTTGAGATAGGTGAGTTCTTGGGGTACAGGATTAGGAGGACTCCTGCAAACACAGAAACACATGCTATCCATCTGGGAAAGCCGCCCAGGTATGCCAGGCATGACTTTCTGGGATTATGAAGTAGAAGAGAGGCCTATTAGACAGGGCCTTGAGGTAAATGTTAATTTATGGGGAAATCAGACATCAACAACTGTAAGATACAAGCCACACCCTACCCCAGGCTGAGCAGACTGCCACTAGCAGGTAAGTTCACAGGGGCCAGGTCGTCCGCTGACTGACACACGCTACTGCCTACCCCTTGAGTAACACCATCCACACAACAGGGGCTTGGCAAACAATAAATGAAGAAATACTGATCCCCTCTGCCCCTCCTAGGACACAAAGCACGGCAGGAGCCTGAGGAAGGAACAGGAGACAAGGCTGGGCCTAGCCTGGTGCCACTGAAAGATTGCTACTCTGATTTGGAAACAAGACACTTGTTGGCATAAACAATTACATACGATCAACATATATCAAGTAAGTGTTGGTATCCCTGGATGGAAATATTCTGAAAATCTTTTCCTCGTCTAAGCTTCCAAATACCTTCCTCAGTGTTTGCGCCTCTCTGGCCTGCACCAGAAGTGTGTGTATACCTGACTGCTCAAGACACTCTGGGGCTCTCCAGGTGCTTCTGTTGCTGCAAGACTTTCCCCACCCAGCAAAGCGACTTACACACCTCCAACAATGGTTAACTGATTGAATAAATGCAAGCAATTGGCTGAAGTTGTGTAGCTACCTGATTCTGTAAATTTAGGGAAGGAGATAAACTAGAACGAATGATAAAGAAAGAATTTAAATTAGTTTATATAGGAAGTAAAAGGGATAGCGAATGAATGATCAAAATTATCAGTGAGAGGACTCTAGGGTGTTAATGTTTGATATAATAACGTGGAGAATAAAAGCTTATGGGAGATGCATCATTTTTAAATGGATTTTTCTGCATTATGGGCATGTAAAGAAAGCAGAGACCTCACCTGCGTGGCTGTATGACTGGACGTCTTTCTGCAAATGAAACAAATGGATAGATGTGTCAGTGCAGGGGTTGTGGGTGCATCCGAGCCCTGGTGCAGGGTCCCCTCTCGGGCCGGGATACCATGTCCAGACACCATGGTCTAGAGGCCATCCTGGCAAACACTTAGGCAGATCCTTCATTTTGCAGATGAAGAAGCAAACCCATGAAATAAGCCAGCTTCCCAAGGACATGAATATGAGAGTGAGGGCTTGAGTCCACATCCTTGAACCCTGTGCCTGTTATCCAACTGCTTCTGGTCAAACTACACTGGCTGTTGTTATCATGACAGAAGTTCCAGGGGCAGGTGCTGCCGTGGTCACACTATAGGTGGGGTGAGGTGTCCAAGGGTGCAGGAGAAGCTTGGACTTTAACTGAGATTCTGGCGAAGTCTTTTCTTGCCCAAACTCCAGCTTGCTCAGTGGAGAATTGGCGGCCAACAGTAAACATAAAAATACCAGAAACAGGAGCTATGACCAACCTACAGGCCGAGTGCAACTGCACAGCACACGAATTCAGCCTATTTCAGTAAAAGCAAAAGTCACAGTAACAAAATGCCAGCTTCTTTAAATACTAACCTTTTTTTCTCTTGAGCCAGTAGCAAAATAACAGGGCTACAGTGGTGAGGCCAACGATGCTGAGCAGCCCCTCAATGACTCCTGAGGGAAGAAGGTCTCTTCTGTCCCCAACAGGCACTGAGGGGAGAGATCTGGACGTGAGCTCCCTGGAGGAGGGCTTGGGTTTGGACAGCAAACAGCTGAGTGTGAGCTGGGGTCAAAGCCTCGGGTACACCTCCCAGGTCAACACTCCCACAGAAGCTCTGTGTTTGGTAAGATAGACCAGAACATTGTGGGATTGGCAAAAAATTCCCAGGATGCTGGGAAAGGACTCTCACCCAGATGATTCCATGGCCTGAGTGTACCTGTGATACTGAGTGTCTCCACCTCACTGCGCTGGGCCCCCACGCCATTGTCGGCCTCACAAGTATAGTTTCCAGAATGTTCTGCAGTCAGGGAGAGGTTGAAGGACACTCCTCCTCCAGCGGGGGCTGAGCTGCTCCCCAGGATGACGTCCTCATGATAAAAATGGTACCTGATGGGGGGAGACCCCCTCTGGGCCTCACAGTGAAGCTCCAGCACGTCCCCCACCACAGCCTGGGTGGGAGCCCCAAGGGTGAGCACAGGGCGGGACACTGGAACTGGGGGAGAACAGACACTGTCAGAGAGGGTTTCTGAGGGTGTGACATACTCACAACCTCTCCCCACACAGGTACTACCCACGGAACTTTCTCCCTCTGGAACATGGAGCCCAATTTGCAACCTGCTGGCTGAGCTGAAGGTAAGAAAGGTAAGAAAACAACTTACTTTTGACCGTGATGCTCACTAGCTCACTGAGGCGGGGGCCCTCGCCATTGTCCGCTGAACAGTAATACTGATCAGTGTCACTCTCCTGCACCGCAGCGATCTCAAACTTTGCTTGCAGTAAACGCTGAGTCTTTGTTTCCATGTTTAAACCCATGCTCCCTCTGTACCAGGAGAAGGTGATGTCTCCTGTGCCCTCAGGGACTGAGCAGATGAGAACCAGCTTCTCTCCCTTTACAACATGTCCCCCTGAAGGCTGAATCTCCAAACTCACATTAGAGACGGGGACTCCTGCATGACACAAGATGACACAGGAGAACCCTGAGCAGGAGGGTGTTAGGGACAGACAGCAGGTGAGACAATCCTGAATGGCCTCAGGTGAAGGCAGCTGGAGTGGCATGGGTTGGCTAAGAAAGACTGTCACATCACCAAGGGGATGCAGCCTCACCTTCCTGCCCAGCTCAGTGACTCCAGACCTGGCCACTCAAGCTCTCATTGTCCATGGAGCAAGAGCATAGTGGTTTCAAGCCCAGCTTGCACATCAGACAGTCTGGGCTTGAATGCTGGCTCCAGCTCTTACTGTGTGTGCTTGTTCAAATCACTCAACTTCCCAGAGGCCTGGAGAGGATCTTGATGGAGTCCTCCTCGGTGCCAGGGTTCAGCCAAACACTGTGTGAGGCACTGGACAGGGTTGCTGCCAGCCCAGCGGCTTGTGCTGTGGCCCAGCTGGGGGCCAGGGTGGGCCGCCCTACCTTGGGGAGGTGCTAGACATTTGCTCTAGGTCACAATGAAACATCTTTGAGAAGGGGAGAAGATATCGAAGTATCACTGACATGGACTAACATGACATGTCTTAGCACCTCTCTCATTTTTACCTTTCAAAATAAACTTTCCCACCAGCCCTTCCCCAGTGGCCTCTTCCACAACGCCTGCTCTGGCCTCCTTTCCCAGTCCGCCTGCTCCCTGCTCTGTAGTCAACACTGGACACCACCACATGTCTCACCCGCATTGTTTCGGGTGCCCACCAAGCAGCTCCTCGTAACCAGGGAACATGGACTATGCAAAAGTTTGCCCACATGCGCCACAGGGTGCAGACGCACAGCAGCGGCGTCTCGGACATGATTCTGTCTGTTTGCACGGGACTGGTAAGGACAAGGGGAGAGCCCTTCAGGTCTCGCAAGGACAGCCTCTCAGGCCTCTCCCAAACAGCTGCTATCGGGGCAGGCGCAGAGCGCAGCAGTCCGGCCAGCCCAGTCTCGTGCCCTTCCGCCAGCCCGGTGGGGCCCAGGCACTTACGCTGCACTTTTATGTAGATAGCATTGCTCCTCAGTGTTGCCCAAGGAGTGGGTTTCACTGACTTTGCTGAACAGTGGTAGGACCCTGGCTTTTTCTTCCACGTGGCAGTGATCTGGAACACTGAGGAGTTGGTCAATGCTGGCCTCAGGATGTGACTATCTTTGTAGAAACTGAACAGGAGCTGACCAGATAACTTCCATGACCAGGGCTGGACCGTACAGTTCAGGGTCACCGTGTTCCCTTCAATGGGCTGAGAAGGGCTGGCTGTCAGAGACAACACTAGAGACAAGAATTAAACACACATCTCAGTGCTTTGCATGCAGCTGCTGATAAGAGGCACTTTGTGTTCTTAGCACTGAAACAAGACTCAAAGCAGACACACAGACCTGCCACCCCCTCAATGCAAGCAGCTTCAGCCAGCACTCCCTGCCCTGTGCAGCACTACCTCCCTCCAAAAGGCGACCCACACCTTCGAATTTGTTGTTACTCTCAAGTTCCACTGTCACTGCCATTTAGAATGAAGCATGGGGGTGCGCCTGCCGGAAAGCCCTGTGTTCACACATCCATGCGCCCAGCCCCCTTACTCCCTTGCTCTGCAGCTTTTTCTATAAAAACCATGTTTATAAGGAGCAAATTTAATCCATATCTCATGGCTCAAGAAGTATCCTTTGAAGCACAGGAATTCTTTTCCAGATGAAGTAAAGGTGGGTCCAGTTGTATTCTGGTCCCACCTCATCTTTTATCTCCCCAGCTGCAGCCCATGAACGAGCAAAAGTCATGATAGCATTGACTCTTTGGGTAATTGTTTAATCCCTTGGGAAATTCTGAGACTATAGCTAAAAACAGCCTTTTTCTGCATCCATGGGAAATGTTACATGTTCTAGACCACTGACGAGTGTTTCATGCTCCAGTAGCCATAAGCTCCAAGCTTCCCTGTTGGAATGCTTTACTGGGACTTAAAAAAAATCTGTTCCCATGATGATGCCAAAATATTTTCCCTGTGCAGGGTTATGAACACTCTGTAGGTTAGAGTTCCTTTCTCTCTTTAAAATACGGTTGTCCCCTGGAGAAGGAAAAGCACAGCTCTGGTGCTGTGCAGAGAAGGGAATAAAAACACCCACGTGCCTGTAACCCCTTCTTCTGAAAGGGGCCGGGGTGAGGTGAAGCAGAATAGAGAAAAGGGCAGTTGCAAGAGTCTGGCACTGGAATTTGTAGCCCAGATCTTGTATCAGAAATTCTCAGACCCAGAGACTACCTGTCAAAATCTTGACAACTGATACTTCCCTTCTTCATCCTAGATTTGGCTTTAGATTTTTGCTTAGACTGAGACTGGATGTGTGGGCTCAGGGGGTGGAAGCTGGGCCAAGCACAGGCATGGTTAGCATTAGCACAAGGCATGGACAGACGGGCAAACATCAGATGCAGGACCCACGAGGCTGAGTCAGTTCTGAGTATCTCTGGTCACATGAACGCCAGGTCTTATGTTTTCTAGCTGCACACACAGCCAGTGTTCTTGAGGTAGCAGGATAACCTTTCTAACCTTGTGTTCATAGCTCATGCACAAGAGAGTAGGTTTCACATATATTGTATTTAAATACACTTTAGTGATAGGTTCCTTGTGGGGAGAAATTTTCTACAGTATTCATCGGAGAAAGGTAAGACTTTGAATGAGGATCAAAGCGATGAAGCAAACGTGCATAACTCGGAGTCTGAAGAAAGCATCCTTAGGTGGCAGACGTGTCTGGAGAGCAGAGCTGTCCTCTGCAGAGCTGTAGGCTGACTGTTATGCTGTTCTTGGACATGACTTTGGCATCTCCTGCATCAACACTGGTAGAGCACCAACTGGAAATTGCATAGGGAACTTGTAGCCTCTGAGACTGAAAAGACAAAGATTCTTCTAGCATCAGCCTTTAGCACTCTTTTTGTTCAAACAGCCTCTTCCTCCCTAATCTGGGACTTCCCACAAATAAGACTGTAGTCTCAAGAAGATCAGAATAAGATCTGTTCCCCCAACTGAGTAGATTCGCATGAGTTCAGAATCTGATGTGCACACAAGCAGCCTGGGCCCGAGGGACTGCAGCTAGCTGTGTGGCTTGGCAGCTGTCAGCAGGGTGCACAGCCATCCCTAGCCTCATGCATGGCCCCAACACACAAGATAGCCACAGACAATGAAGAAGAAAGGGAAGTACAACTCACCAACTGGTTCACAGAATGGAGCTGGGAGAGAAACCAGTAGACATCAGCACAGAGCGGCAAATCCCAAGCCCAACCATGTTTACTCCCCAGGGAGCTTCCCTAGCAACACCCCTTTCCTTGTGCTCCCCTGATGGCTTCCTTCCTCTGTCCTTTGCTTTTTCGCTATCCCTCTCTCTTTTCTCACTTTCCCCTCTTTCCTTCCTCCCTTCCATCTTTTTCTCTGCTCTTGCCCACTCCACATTCCTTCCCTTCCCTATCCAGAAAGCAGCATGTCATTTCATTATATGATCACAGAGCAATTTCCAGTAACATCTATCATCTATGATTAGAAGATGGTGCCTTTATTTTACGACTACTTTGTAGCTTTAGCTTCCTTTTTTAAAAAGAAATGCATTCTCTTCTCAGAATCCTTGACCTAACTCTTGTCTAACTGACTCCAGTAGTCAGGCAAACAGCAGGAAGGGCTCCGGCTCAAGGCCTGAAACCCTTCTATTTACAACTTCGAAACAGAGAGGCGTAGGTCTAGAGAAGGAATCCACATTTTTCCAAACATTCTCTCATATACTAAGGATCTTGTCATAGATTTGCTGCACAATGAACAAGAATGGAAAAGGCTGGGGAAATGCAAACTGGAGCCAGGTGAGTTGAATCCTAGCTCTTTCTCTTACAAGCTCGGTGACTGGGGAAAATGGTTCATCTCTCTGTGATTTAGTTTCCTGTGTTATAAAATGGAGATAAAACACACCTACAATGCAGAGATTGCGTGAGAACTATTATGATGTGTGCTTAACAAAAAAAGCTAAAGCACAGAAAAGTGAAGCATTTTTCTCAAAGTCACATAGCTTGTAAGAAGAAGAGCTAAGATTCAAACCTACATCATTAAATAAGTTGACTATAAAATGTTTGAAAATGTGCCTGAAATTTATTATACCTTCAGTAAATATATTTTATTAATATTACCTATTTAAACTCATGTTTACTCTGAGATGTCTACTGTTTGGGGTGAAATGTTTATATGAATATTTTCTCAGGTAGGATAAAGGAATCAGTGAAGGCTAACATGAAAATCACAACTTATCTATCCATTCCTACAGCAAATTATTTTGAGTGTCTATACTGAGGTTACATGAATAAACATGAAAAACAGTTTTTGCTGCCAAGGAATTTACATTATAGTGGGAAAGAGTCAATTTACAAGTAAATATAAAACAATATCTCAGAAGGTGATCAGTGCTGAGTGAAAATACAGCTGAGAGATAAGTCACAGCGTATGCAGGATGGTCTCAGCTACTCGCATGACATCAACTGAGTACAAATCTAAATGAAACCAGAGAGCAAGTCTTCCAAATGAGTGAGTATGAACATCCCTGTCAGGGAGATAGAAAATGCAAGACTTTAAGAAGAAATTAGTTTGTTCCGGAGGAATGCGAAGGTGACCAGGTGTGTGTGTGTGTGTGTGTGTGTGTGTGTGTGTGTGTGTGTGTGTAGCAGGGGTGAGGGGAGATGTGGTTGCCAGTGGTGGACATCAGTGTGTATAATATGGGCAGGAGCCAGCATGGGAGCGCTTGTGAACTTTAAGCCACCCTGGGTTTCATTCTAGATGTAATGGAGAGCCATGGACTTAATTTACATATGCAAAATTACTCCTGCATTGTGAAATCAGCCAATAGATATGCAAGGGAGGCAGAGAAAAATCAATAGAAGATTAGACTGGAGAGTGATGATGATGACTTAAGTGAAGCAGTACTGGTGTGTGCAGTGGACAGATTGTAGTGCACATTTTGAAAGATGAATCAATGGGAATTTCTTTTGAATTGGATGAAAACAAGTATATTTTAAAAGAGAGAGAGAGATGAATTAAGTATGAGTCCTAGATTCTTGGTCACAGAACTAGAATAATGGTGGTGACATTAACAGAAATAGAGATTTTGTGGGAAGAAATAAAGAGGTTAAGGTCACGGTGCTGGTGGATTGGATATGTTTGAACATACTCAATTTAAGATGCCTATTAGAAAACTGAATGGCTCAACAGGTTGGGACACAGCACTGCAAGCTGGCTACAGCGACTTTAGTGAGAGTTCAATATCTGCGCTGGAAGGGATCCACATGGTGCGGCAGACCTCTCCTGACCCACCCGCTGCTCCCCTCAGCAGTGTACTTTGTCAATCTGCCTGTTCTGCTCCCCATCCTGTCTCCAGTGAAGCCTCTCACCACCCCTGTACCTCTGGCTTATACCACAGTTCTGTATGAATAAATAAATAAATCTTTAATATATGTATATTAGAAATCTGAATGACAGTTGAATATATGAATGATGTTCAAAGGAGAAATCAAAGCTTGAGTTCAAGAAGTTAAAGTGTCAATTAGTGACTAGATAGTATGACTTTGTGGAGTGATTGTAGATAGAGAAGTCTAGGTACCAAACTTGTCAAACATTTTGAGGTCAGCAAGGTAGCAGGCATTTTATAGAAAGAAACCCAGCAGAAATATGGTATTCCAAAAGTTAAGCAAGAAAGTATTTCAAGAAGATGGGGTGATCAACTATGTCAAATACAGTTGAAAGTTTGGAAAAATTGAATACTAAACAAGGAAAACATGTGGGAGTTTGATGAAATTAGCAAGAACTCTTACAGCAATGGTGGAAATACAATTGAAGTGGGCTCAAGAGAGTGAGAAAAAACTTTGAGGCCCTATAGGAGGCTGGTAGAATCCAGAGGTTGTGAATGGGGGAGAAGTTGACTATGAATAAATCTGGGCATGAGGAAATTTCTAAAGTGATAGAAATTGCTCTGTATTGAGGGTGCTAGTGGCCACATGACCATAATCCCTTGCCCAAAATCAGAGATTAAAAGAAAAGATTCATGTCAAAAAATGAATCTTACTATAATATAAACTTAATTTTGAAAAAATGGACAGAAAGAGACAAAGTGAATACATTCGCTCTTGAAACTTTACACGGGGAGACAGAGAAAAGGTGCAGTAAATGGAGGACACCATCAAGTCACATTTTTATTACTTTAAGATAAAACATATACTATTGCCTTGGGATAGCAAGACTCCAGTCTACACAGCTTCCCACCCTCACGCCCCCTGCATGAGGCCAAGCACGGAGTGTGGACAGAGCACAATGACCTGCTCATGCGTGGTGGTACAAGAACCATGCTAACAGCACAGTGGGGGTGGCCATCCCGTACTTCCAAAACACAAACAGCAGTGCAAGACAATGTTACCTCAATAGGACTATAAACAGACAGGACAGTGTAGAATGTTTGAATATTTATGGGACCAATGACAAATGTTGAAACATTTTAATGAT